GTGACACTGTCCGTCGTGTTGCTCCGTGTCTAAGTACGTTTCTCGTACTTAACTAAGGACAATGAAATGGAAACCAGGGTTAGCAGATGGAGATAATCAATCCAATCACCTAATATAGTTAATTCTAAAACCACCGACCCTCTTAATGTCAAATACTGTTCCACGATGGTAAATTTGCAATAGCCCGTCCTGAACCCTACACCCTAAACCCTAGAGGGGTGGCGGGTGTTATATTAGCGGAGGGGATCATGATGGAGCTGAGGTCATGTCAGCTGAGCTGACCTGCAGTTTTTCCGCCTCCTGGGGGTAACCTGCGCCTTCCACAGAAGAATTATTGCTGAAGGGTTTAGGGTTTAGGGGAATAAGTGACATGAAATGGCACGATGCCTTATTGTCATCGACCCTCATATGCATGAGGTGCTTCAAAACTTTGCACATTGGGCTCACATTAAATTAAATGTGAAGGAATAGGCCGTAGACTGTGTGGACTGCGTGCAGGTTTCTCCCATCACTGCCGGTTCTTAGCGGTAAGGCTAATGTAGTCCCACAAATTCGAAGAAGGAAGCAGATGCGAAGAGAAAAGCTTTCTTGATTTCAAATACACCAGAAGAACGTGATATCCTTGAACCTGAACTGCAAATGGCCGATGCACAACGTTCCTTCTTCGACGCCCGTCCAGCGTCAGTTCCAGCTAAACGGTTGGTTGTCAGAATTGAGTATCCCTTAACCCAAACACGCACGGACCCGTACTAGAAGCGCACCAAGAGGGGCCTTGATTTTGAGAACCACCCAGACCAGCATCGGCCTAAGGCGTGTCTGAGCGTGAAAAGGGTCCGTAAACAGCGGTGAAATACTTATGACGACTATGTCAGTTATGGCATGTTTCAGAGTGAGCCTGCAAGATGCTAGGGTTCTTGTTCTGGATAACATGGTTTGGTAGTCTACAATAGACCGTGAAGACTCGAGAAAGGTCTTCGGGCCGCAGGATGCCGCAGGTACAGTATGCAGAAATACTAGTGAAGTGCATCGAGGGGATGAAATGCCGGTATAGGACGCGGTCTTCAGTGACCTTAGTTTACACGGAGCCAGTAACCACGTGGAACAGAGTGCCCTCTTTCCATGACCATGAAGCGTTGTGATTCTCGAGAAACAGCATGGCAGAAGATCAGCAGGAAATGTTCTGGCTTCATGGGGTAAGAACCTGGCAAGAACCAAGAACTTGCCGTAAGCCCGCGCGTGAGCATCAGCAAAGACACATTGACCTGACTCATACTGCAAGCGTGCTGCTTGCAATGTTTGATTGATGAGCTGCGATGGAAGCATGCGCCGCTGGCATGCATGTGAGTGATATGGGAAACCATGAATGGGGGCTTCAATATAGACCCCGGAAATTGTCCTGACGATCCAAACTTTAAAAGAGGCCGCTACTTTCTGGAAACTTGTATATTTCAGTCAATGCCTCGGAGCACCTTCTGCTCTGCTAGCGCCACCCCGCAGCACAGGCTTCATTGATGGTGTTTCGGGTACGTCGCACCTATCAAATCTGATATTGACGTGTTGGGTTAGCCTCACACAGAAAGGGTGGTCAGAGTTGGCAAATCAGACAATAACGTTTGCATGGACGATTGGTCCACTAGCTCAGGATTCAACAGATCCGCTCAAGCCGGAGAAAAGAGGATAACAGGGCCTCGCGGCAGGATTCAAAATGCTGCAAGCCTAGAGCCCTAAAGTCTCGAACTCTTCAAAGACAAAAAGAGAGCCTGAATGCAGCTTGATATTGCTCGTTCTTGGTTTTTTTGTCATTTCAATACTGATCAAGCACGCTAGAACCCTGTTCTAGTCTTGAGGGCCCTCATATGAGCTACGGATAAACGAATAGAATCCCCCTTAATACCCCCTATAGTAGTCCCTATATAGTCCCTTATATAACCCACCTTTAAGGAGTTTAGATTATAGCTCATGTGAATTAACTACTATTAACTTCGTCTCTAAAGAGTTGCTTCCACTAAGGCCGCTGGCGCCCGTGCCCGGTCCGATGGGAAGGCATGTCAAGCTCTGCGGCGACTTAGAATTTGGAGGGTCTAGAGTAAGGTGGGAGTGGTTCATGGCACATACAGTAGGCCCTAATTCCTATAAACTACCCTGTAATCCCGGTTTCCATTTCAGTTTCCATTTCTTTTCCAGTATTGGGGTAATATCCCTATAGAACTCTATATATCTCCCTTTTAGATTCCCTGACACGGAGTAAGAAGTTGGAGCTCCGCTCTTGCCGTGGTGTAAACAAATCGCCCACGCGAGGCCGGCCAGCGGCCGGAGAAGGTCGCGCAAGACCTCCAATCCCCAGAGGCCTAACATGGACCCAATAATAATAGTAAGAATAGACATAGAATTAATAGTAAGAATAATAGTTATGACAGTACTTATTGTAATAACAAGAAGAAGAATACTACTAATAATAATAATAATAGGATAAGCGGTAGTTTCCAACAGGTGTGGTTTCAGAATCATCCGTAGGGGCGCGGCGTGTCTATTTTCCCTGGGTTGAGTATAGTGGGCAGCACAACCGAACTATCAAGAAGTGAGGGCTGCGCTACATGGGCCTACATGGAGCATGTGTAATGGTTTGACCGGTTGTTGGGGAAATGCTTGCACCCTAAGTGCGTCCTCGTGCTGCGAGGAGTAGCAGGTCCAGTGATTTGACGAGAGGTAAATATCCAGCGCATCAGGAAGGGTCTATCCCAATAATGGAGAATCAAATGTAAAAGAAATGGATAATGAAATGGAAGCTAGGATAATTATGCGGGGGTCATAGAGTTTTTGTTGAGGACTCCTGCAAATCTCCGACAGCAGCCCATTTTGTTAGTTTTAACAACTATCTACAATTTGTGCTAAGTAGGCTGATTTTTTCATCGCCACGACAGCACATTGCAAGGACAAGAGTCCACCCCGAAGCCCTAACCTTTCTGGTGCTCAAGGGAGAGTGGAAGAGTGGATCCCTTTAAGAATCCCTGTATTTACCCTATAACGGTGCCTATATTCATCCCACCCTCTCCCTTAAGCACCAGTAGGTAATTCACCCCTGGATTGTTTGGCAAGCCACTACTACTCAGGGTTTACCTCGCTCAAGCAAAGAGACCTGGGCTCTCTGTTTTGGGGGTCCTTTCGTGGACAGCACCGAATCTTGCCCCCTTTAAGCCCTACATGCCCTAGGATCGCGCATGGGAGTTGCTGCTGTCCATCGCTGGAGCGCTATTCTCAGAGCGTGGTCTTGTACCTTGCTACTGGTACGAGAGAGGTCTAGGTAACCTGGTACCACATTTTTGGGATGGATTTGCTCCGATGTTGGAGCAAAGCTGGAAAACATCGTGTTTTCTTTAAGCTGCAGTAGTCCGAGGAAGGTAGGTGTTCTGACTAGTTTTCGCATCAGCGCGTGTTGCAGCAGGATGAATGCAGCCACGGCATGTCAAGATGTTCTCTACACTTCGTTGAAGTCCTTAGCACAGCCGCACAAGCATGCGCGCTGCGCGGGCGCTGCTGGCAGCTACCGAAAAGCCTGCCGTTGCGATTGTGGCAGATGCCAAGCAGTTCTTAGACATTTCGGAGAAGCATGCCTACGAAAGCTTCCGCGCAGCCAGTGCAGCAAGCTTATCCACTACGCTGGCCACGCGGACAAGCTCTGCTGGGACCCGTGCTAGCTCTACTACTGGGCTTAGCTGGTCCAGAGTGAAACTGCCTCCGTTGGAGCCTCCGCAGCCAAATCAAGAAGTTCCCAGGAGGTCCAAGGCCAGCGGCAGCGACCGCCGGCGAAAACGCCGCCGTCGTGCAAAGGCTGCTGCCTCACAAGCGCCTGCTCCTTGTGCTGAGACACCCAGTCCCGACAGTCCCAAGGGTGTGAAGAAGGACAACGATCCCAGACCGTCATTAGAAACAGAATCTGGCCTCGAGCGTGATGCTGTGGTCAAAGGAGCCACTTACACCTGGGAACGATGCGAGCAAGTGGGCCGTGGATCCCTAGGCACTGTTTGGAGAGCCAAAGTGCAACCTGGAGATCAGATTGTGGCTGTGAAGGAGCTCCACCTAAACAGAGACTTGAATGTCCCGACGGAAGCTGCCGCAGAGGTCGAGCTTCACAGGGGCCTAAGCCACCCCAACATCATCAAGCTCTTTGGAACCGATTCTGTGAAGGCTAGCCTCTATATTTATCTTGAGTATATGCCCGGAGGCTCCTTGCGTCAATTTCTGAAGAAGAACGGGCCACTTACCGTGGCAACCACCCGTTCCTACACCTACCAGCTCGTTCGCGCGCTCAAGTCTCTTGGTCTAGCATAGTTGACTTTTTCCCTAACAATGTGAAAATGCAAGGATCGCAGGCTCAGAAGTCTAGTCCTGAATGGCATCCCAGACCAGACGTGGCTCAGGTACCTTCATCGACATTCCATCATGCATCGGGACATGAAGGCTGCCAACGTCCTCTTGACCCAGGACAGACAGTGCGTGAAGCTAGCGGACTTCGGGTGCTCAAAGAAGTCCGAGGTCTGCGCTAAGCATACATTCCGAGGATCCATCCTCTGGATGGCGCCTGAGGTTATTAACTGCTTCGAATACGATTTTTCGGTTGACATCTGGGGATTGGGCTGCACAGTGATTGAGATGGTCACGGCCCAGCCCCCCTGGGGCAAGTTTCCCTCAGAACTGGCTGCAATGATGCACATTGCTAGCTGCGAAGAGACGCCACCCGTGCCAGCTGATGCAGATCCCCACCTGAGGGACTTTGTTGAAAAATGTACCCGGTGCACTCCTAAGGAGCGCCCTTCTGCACGCAGGCTCATGCGCCACGACTTCCTGAATTTGCAGAGCTGTGACTTCTCCAGGGAACTTTCCTGATGCCTTGGGGCTCGCAGAGTAATCTTAGCAGGGAATGAAGGAATGGAAACGGAAAACAGAAACGATGATATTCTTGCGGATGATGTAGGGACTACTGCAAGGATCCATTCCTGCACTCCTGGCTTACCAAAGGCAAGTAAACCTTAAACTAAAGACCAAAGGGAGGTTCCCCACCTCTTCCGCTCATTTCTCGTGGCACTATTCGAATGCAAGGCAAGGCGCAAAAAGGGCTCACCGGGTTAGGGCTTCGGGTATAGGCCCCCCAAGGGACCAAGGCTATTAAATACAACATGCCTACGGTTACACTTCTACGAAAACAGCCCTAAACCCTAAACCCTACGAAAACAGCTCTAAACCCTAATACGCTAAGAATGGGAGCTTAGGTCCGAATTACCGAACCGTTTGAGCCAGAGCCCTTTCATTAGAAGGTTCCTGAAGAGCCTGCATGTACACGCATACATGTATGTAAATATATATATATATATACACACGTACGTACGTGTATATATATATTACATGTGTCTACATAAATATATATATATATAGACATGCATCTGTGGATGCTGGTATTTGTAACTTGTAGCTGTAATCCGAGGAAGCAGCTGAGATCAATGACCTCCACCAGGGTTTCATGGTTTGGTAGAGAAAGACCCAATTTATGGTTATGTGACATCAAATAAGCTATATCGTCTAAACTCCTTAGAGGGAATCAGATAGGGAAGCCTTATGGGTGTTGTTCCGAGGGATATTAGCACTTTAGATTATAGCTCATATCAAATTACGTCTTAGAGCAGCTGTACAAAAAAGTGTGCGTATGTTATACAAATCTACCTAGCCATACTCTAGTTCCAGAGCAGGTAGAGCTTCATCGCTGGCAAAGGCTGTAGTGTTCGAAGGTCGGGTTTGGGGGTTCAGACATCAGGGTCCAGGTACGCGTTTGGCTCACAAATGGTAAATGGCGGATGTAGATTGTATGGTTTAGGCATTTTTCACTTTTTGTGCACCAAGCAGATGCTATAAAGGTACTTTGACATTTGGGTTTTGTCATGCCTTTGCGAGCAGGGTCTGAGAGCCACTGCTAATGTAAGGAAAGCTAAGCAGCTAAGACTTGGAAGACTTGCTGGTGGTAAATATGGCAAAAGAGATTGGAAACATGTAAGCAACCCTTGGGATTGGAGTAACTGTATGCATTCATGTAACCCGCCAGTGTCCATTCCATCTTCTTTGTGTTTTGTCATGTGATTCTCCATTTCCGCACCTAACAGAAAACCCTAAACCGTAAACCTTCTAGAGTTGTCCCCCTTTCCGTATGAGTCCCCTAAACCGGTAATGGTGGGTACGTGAAGAGAGGCCTATCAGAAGGCTCAGTAAGGGCTCTTAACTAATGTACGCGGCGTGAGGTAAAGGGTTTAAAGCTAACCCAGATACCTGCATCATACGAATTAGCACAAATCCAGTATCAGTCTTATTGTCGATTTTGCTTTCCGGTTTACGGCTGGAGGCGGTTGAGGGTTTTAGTCCTGGGGCACTTATAGCCGCCCACTGGAAACGAATTATAGTTATAACTTATGCTTAGAGGACTTGGACCTGGACTAATTGGATTATACCTACAGTGCGACTTGGTCTTTAATTTTTCCGAGTCCTCCAAGAATAAACCCTAAAATCCTAAACACCCGAAAGCTTGCAAGCCCTAAACCCTAAAAAACAACTGAACTGAAAAACCCTAGACCCTCAAAGCTCTAAAGTCGAAACCCTAAGCCTCTAAACCCTAAACCACTCTCCTAAACCCTAGACCTCTAAACCCCCCACCCAAAACCCCAAACCCTGCTGAGGCCCATGCCGAGGGTCCCAAGAGCTCTCCTGAGCTCCGGCGCTTGGCCATGGAGGTCTCCAAGGTTTATAGGGTTTAGGGTTTAGGGTTTAGAGGTTTAGGGTGGAAGGGTTTAGGGGCTGAGGGATGGAGGGTCTAGGGATTCCGGGGTTTCGGGGTTTAGGGTTTGGGGGTCTAAGGGTTTAGGATGTAGGGGTTTTGGGTTTAGGGTCAAACGAGTTGGTCCTTGTGAAGGCCTGATGGGGTGTCTGAGAAAGGCTCCATGACACAGCCCTTCTTTCTATATGAGCTACGGACTAAATTTGGGTTTAGGGTTTAGGATTTAAGGTTTAGGGTTTGGGGTAGGTTGGGGGGGACCTATGGACCATATAGGGTTTGGGCGGGACCTATCAAGGGATATACTACAAATTTAGTCCAAGGCTCATATGCAAGGACCCCTATGGAATGTAGGATTTTCGCTCATGACCTCTCAGTGCGACACGTACCCCATGCCTGCTCACTAATAATCTCAAGGAAGGCTATATTCTATATATATGTATATGTAAATATATGAGCCATAGTCAAGACTCCCAGTATATAACCCTACAGAAATTGCCTGTATAATCCCATCTATAGCCGGCTTAAAGGAGTTTAGACAAGAGCTCGTATACAATTACCGAGGATAAAAACACTGTCCTGCATCTATATAGTATGCCTGAGAAGTGTTGTGTACACCGAGCAAGATGAGAATCAAAATCCTGCCTCCTACGGTGGTTGTCGAACGTTTGACATCACAGGGTTTGGGGTTTAGGGTAGGGGTCCCGACAACCGGGGTTCTTGCTATTGTAATGGTCTTTCCATGAGCTTCCCTCTTGTTTGGGAAGCACTTCAATTTCATGAATTTTGGAAAGTTCCATTCTAGGCTATGACAAAGACTTTCTGTCAAGGCTGAGAAGGCAGCCACCGTTTGAGCTGTAGTCCAAACTTCTTGAAGGGGGTTTAATAGGGGATTCTGCAGGGATCCTGTTAGAGGGCTTATTTGGGGCAGTATACTGGAAGTTTATTTAGACTATAGCTCATTTCGAGAAACCCTCTGCCCCAAACCCTAATTCAGCCCTCAACTGTGAAAGTAGGATTATGCGGCATGCTATAAAATACATACCTATACTTTTAGAAGGCTTGTACGTAAGTGGATAGCGCTCCCAATTCTTCGGGCCCTTACATCCTAAATTCTCCGTCTAGGGTGCCACTTGTCGAGATCAACAACTGAGAGTTTGATGTCTGCTCCGGGCCCCTGTTTTTAATCGTGCGTGCCCAGCAGGTCTACTACACCATAATACCAATCAAGGAATGCACCTGACTAAATCTTGTTTTCCAGAGTGTACCTTGAATGGTACATGGGTCGATGATATGATCCAGGGAGTCCTCCTTCATAAAGGGGTATTGGGCTTTGTGTGTCCTCACTCCCAGTTGCACAGCAAACTTCTTTAGGGTTTAAGTAGGGCTTAGGTTGAAAGATTCAAGGACTGGAAAAGAACATGGCAGCCACTTTTTTTGAATATTGGGGGATTATGAAGGGGCTACTCGGCTACTAAGGCTACTATAGTGACCATTCCTCCTTTGCCTCACTCAAAACCAGCAAGTAACAAGGGCCCTACAAAGGGTTTAAGGTTTAGCGTTTAAGAACTTAGGCTTTTGGGTGTTAGGTCCTCAGCCACTGGACGAAGATCTGAATCTTCAGAGACTCGCCCTAAACCCTAAGCCCCTAAATCCTAGACACCAAACGCCCAAACCCTAAGCCCATATACTCCCTTGCGACAAGCCTAGTGGCAAGCAGTGGAGGTATGCCTGGACAAATCTTGCTGGTGCTTAAGCGGCTATTAGGGTTTAGGGGTTAGAGTTGAGAGTTTATGGTTGAAGGTTTAGTTGAAGGTTTAGGGCTTAGGGTTAAGGATTGTGGGATTCAGGGATTTGGGGCTTCATTCTTTCCGGCAGTGAACTCTTCTCTTCCCTGAACTAGACCACCCACCCAGTAAGGGCAGTAAGATAGGATTTTCAGGGGACCCTCATGTAATTGCAATGATCCCTGGTCTACTACCACCTTATTAAGAGATTATCAACGGAGCCCTATCATCCTCGCCGAATTTATGAGGAACTTGATGGCCGCATTTAGGGAAGATGGGAATATACTATATGAGCCATTGTCTAAACTCCTAGTATCCCCCTTAAACACCCCTATAGTAGTCCCCTATATAATCCCCTATAGAACCCCCTTTAAGGAGTTTAGCCCATGGCTCATATAAGGTTTAGGGTTTAGGGATGCCACAGGGTTCACAGTTGCTCGGAGGCGTCTTTTAAACTCAACTTGAAATTCAAATCATTCGAGGGTCACTACGAGTATTTCCCAAAACCTAGGGACCGACTTTATGGCTCGGAGATAGAAAGCTCTTCGTTCATGGGGACTCTCAAGATTGGGTAGCTGATGTTGAAACAAAGAAGCATACTTGGAGGGTCGAGGGGGCTTAAGCATGCTTATAGCCCCTATAAGTCTGTATAGTATCCCCACTATCCCAACCCCAAGCCCTAAACCCTAAGCCCCAGAACCCTAAACCCTTAAGCTACTTATTAAGTCTCCTTGACCCTCAGCGGGGAAACCAAGGGCCACAACTGGCTATCCCTTTTACTGTGATAACCTACCAGAAGGTTTAGGATTCAGGGCCTATGAATTGCGACAGACAGCCCAATCAGCTTCCATGATCTTGACAGTTGACAATCCCTAAGGGTCCAAGGACCCAAATAGCAGGGTTTTAGGCTCCAACTACTATAATAACGATATTAATTGTATTTGGGCCCCAAAACCCTATTATTTGGGCCCTGGGAATACCTCAACCCTAAAACCGGAGAGATTTGTTCTTGCAAGGCTGGCCGAGTCCTCTGTCAATGATATCTCTCAGCAAGGCGGCGCCAGACGTAAGCCTGAGGAATTTGTAGTGAAGGTGCAAATACAACAGCTGCCTGTCATCCAATCAAAGACGCCTTGTCCCACGAAAGAGGTGAGGCCTTTGTGTTCTCATGCACTCATGTAGCATGTGCAGTTGTGGGCCTGCGAAGAACTTTGCATGAGACTGCTGCATAGAATGCCGTCACGCCTGTGGCGAGCGCTTCAAGTCGATCCTAGTGCGCATCTTGT